CTACCTTGCAACCAGGGCCGGATTTACTCCCCCTGCCGCCCCAAGGCCAGGTTCCACAATACGCCCCCCCTGCGCCGCCAACCCCCCCTCCCCATCAATTGAAAATGGCAACCAGATGGCGGGGGGGGGGCGCGCGTATTGTGGAACCTGGCCTTAGGGCGGGGCTAATTTCTAATTTTTTTTTTACTGTTTTTCATTATTTTTATCACTTTTTATTTTTCTATTCAATTATTTCTTATTTTTTTAAAATGTATTTATTTAATTTTTTAATCAATTAAATTTTTTTTAGATTTTTATTTATCTTACTTTTTAACACCCTCTATCATCGCCAGCTGATCTAATGGTCCTGACACCTGAAAACTTCACTATACATTCCTGGAGGCTGTATAGCAACATCATGCTTGCAATGGGAATATTTTCTTTATTCCAGGATGCCGGGGCGGTGTAGTGAAGTTCACGTGTGAGGACGGTTGTACCATCTGCTGTACATGGTGGACGATGGTCATTATTGCAGCTTAGTGTAGTAGAGATTAGACACGTGCCATTCGTTTCTTTCCAAATCAAAATTCTGACAAATTTTCTGAAATTCTGACACTTCCGAATGTGTCAGTTTACGAATTTCGGATCCCGTCCGAATTTCATTCAGAAACGAAACTGAAATCGGACATGTGACCTTTCTGACAAATCGGATGCGATTTTCAGTTTAATGCACCCGAATGGGTCTGAACACGCAACATGGGAGCCACATGCAGTATATACATACAATACTAAAAGCTGAGGGTCACAGACCCGAATGGCATTCAGGATCTGAATTGCATTTGGGAGCTCTAAAATGCCATTTCGGGTCTGGGAGCCATATACATATTATACTAAAGCTGAGGCTTTCAGACCCGAATGGCATTAGAGATCCAAATTTCCAAAATGCCATTCGGGTCTGGGAGCCTCAGCTTTAGTAATATATGCTGTATGGCTCCCAGACCCGAATGACATTCCGGAGCTCCCGAATGCCATGCAGGTCTGGGAGCCATACAGCATATACATATATTACTAAAGCTGAGGCTTCCAGGCCCGATTGGCTTTTGGGAGCTCCTGAATGCAATTCGTATCCTTGAATGCCATTTGGGTCTGAGAGCCTCAGCTTTAGTATAATATGTATATGGCTCCCAGACCCGAATAGCATTCCGGAGCTCCCGAATGCCATGCAGGTCTGGGAGCCATATACATATATTACTAAAGCCGAGGCTTCCAGGCCCGAACGGCTTTTCGGATCCTTGAATGCCATGCGGGTCTGGGAACTTCAGCTTTAGTATTAATATCTGTATATGGTATTCTCAACGAATATTTGTAAACTCATCCGGAACTAACGAAAATTCGGATTTCTTCTGAATCCGAACCAAAAATGTAATTTTGGATCGGAATCCTGAAACAAAATATCCGAACCAAATTTTTTCCGCAGCTTACGTGTCTAGGAGGGGCAGGGAGTTAGTTCATCTTTTCATGACTAAGGCCTGGTTCACACCTGTACGTTTTGTAGCGCGTTCAACGCTCGACAAAACGCTCAAACATGAAAATCCCATTGTTTTCTATGGGTATGGTCCACACCTTGCCGTATTTCAGCCCGTCTGAACGCGCTACAAAACGGCCTACGCCTGAAAAGGTACCGCTACGAAACACGCGACAAACGCGCATATTCGATACGCCATGGTGTGAATAGAGCCTAACCTTTATGGTGTATACATTAGCCAGGAGAACAAAAAGATTAGAATAAAACCTTTTATTTTTTTCCCCTCTACATACAATAAAAAAAAAAAAAAACACTTTAAAAACGAGTATTTACATATACATTGTTTTCAAACGTCTAGAAAAACTTTATAAAATGAAAAAACAAAAACAACAAAACAATTCTTACATTCATAGTCCAATGCTGTAATGCAATATACATTTAGAAACCCAAATGTAGAGTTTTTGGTCTGGCCATAAAGCTTCATGCTTAACAAACCACTCTACAGCTCTAGACATCCTTTCACACTTTACATAATTTTTATGTTTCAGGGCACTGGTGAAAGTCCAATGGTGAATTGTTCAATGTAAATATCAGGCATCCTTGAATAGAACAGAAATGTACCACCAATGGGAAAAGTGACAGTGCCTCCTGCTGGCTCACCCAGCCAGCATGGTACTCACCCATTTGTGACTATAAATCATTGTACTAATGGGGAGCACAAGACCTTCCCGTGTACTTGCTTAGGCCTGAATTGGCGGACCCGAATTCTAGCATTGAAGAGGAAGCAGTGATAGTATCCAATGCAGTGGGAAAATAGCCAGGGACTGGGAGAATGGTGGGTTCTCAGGAGACCGTGTTCAATCGCCTAAGATGTCTCTAAATAAAGTTTCCAACAATTGATTCAAATGGCTTTAATATAACATTGGTGGTGTTATAATGGCAGGAGTAGTGGTACAATACAACTAATTCAACGTAATATGTATATCGCTGTAGGCGAGTGGCTCACCACAGGTCCCATTGCAAATTCCACGGGTGCTCAACTGGCTCATTGCACTCCGGACAGGGCCGGATTTGCTCTCTCTGCTGCCCCAGTGCCAGGTTCCTGAATGCGCCCTCCTGTATGTAGGCTGCATACAAGTGATCTCGGCGATCACTTGTATAGAACAAGCGGCAGCTTCCCCGCTGTGCATTTAGCCCTGCTTGCCCAAAACAGGGCTAAAGCTGCCCATACACCTTACAACCATCGCAAGATTTTTCTTGTGCGACGGTTGTAAGGCTATTAGAATTTTGTATGATCTGCCCATCTTGGACAGGCAGATCGTACTTGCCATCATCGCAAGCCCTCCGCGCTGAGGGGAGGGCTTGCCGATGATCGCAATGTTGTGCGGGCAGTGTGCGCTTGCGGCTTTCGTCTTCCGAGCACGCTACCAACCCGCCGAAAAACATACGATTTTTGGCAGGTTTCCAGCGTGCTAGGAAGACGAAAGTCGTGCGACCGTACAGTAGATGCGGTCGCGCGCTGCCCATACACCTGCCGATTATTGTACGATCGCAGGATCACCCAATTAATTTTCCTTAATTCTCGAGAGAGAGAGAAAAAAAAATGCCGCCACCACATCTAAGGATTGCTAAGCTGCAATATATCGCATTCACGTTTTTGGGTTTCATCATGCCTTAGGGCCTGTTCACACGACGTCCGTTTTCTGTGCTGAGCTGATCTGTACGCTCCTGCACTAAAAATGCATCCCAGTGTATCCCTATGTGTTTTATGGGCTGCAGTTCTCAGTGCGCAGTCCGTTCAGGTTACGACAGAAAAAATACTGCATGTCACATTTTGTACGGTCAGGAAACGCAAAATGCGTCATAAACGCACTGCAGCTAACATACTGACAGCCCCACTCCAGCAAAATATATATATATATTTATTTTTTAAACTGGAACGCATCAAAAACGCACTGCATCAGTAGTAGCACCGCGTCTGCAGATCCGCACCTGATATCATGTGAACATGCCCTTAATGTTATTCAATGGCTATGATACATAAAACAACTTTGAGTTGTGTGACCTAAATCACGTGTGATTGTGGAGTGAATTCTTTATGTTGATATGTTACTATTACCCACTCAGTCACAGATGTGCAATATTGTGTAGCTGATAAAGCAGACATTGCATGAAGTTACACTTCAAGACGAATGAAGACTAAAAAATGTTTGTATTTTGGCTATGGGAAGCCTGTATATTAAAAGGTCATAACTGTGAGCAGGTATGGAAAAGACAAAAATTCCAAAAATGTAAAAAAACAACATTTTGTACAGAATGCAGATTGGTGCAAGAAAGAGTAAAGAGCACCTGTCACCAATACAAAAGGCAGGGAGCCATTCCTAAAGCTGCACCTTGTAAGATGCAGATCATCAATTCATTACAAATAAGCCCCAGTAATGCCATTTCTGGTGAATAAGTACTGATGGCGTTGTCTGTTCAATAGCTGCAGTCATTAAGGAGCAGAGGGACATCTTCACCACCAAATCAACTTCATTTTAAGCCCAATTGAACTCTACATTTCAGGTGCATCAAAGTGTGCAAAGTCCTACAGTGTTTTCTTTAAAAAGGAGCCACAGCCCAAATAGAAAAACCTGTCCCTTGCCAACATGCTGTAGAGAAGGTGTAAAAGTTGTATAGGACAGGTCCAACCGGTGAGAACCGCTCTCCGGAGGGGTTGGGGTTGATTTAGGCGCTGGTGTGCGCGGACCGGTGTGTCCGACGTATGTGCTATAGAGGAAACAAAAAGGAGGAAGAAGCGCTACGACATAGCGCAGGTAATAGAGGGTTCTAGGTCGTAGCGCTTATTCCTCCTTTATGCCCTTTAAGGACCTTTATGCTTTATGTCCTTTAAGGACCTTTATGTTGTGCGGAAGCCATGATCGCTTTGCAGAGGTCCGACACGCCCCCGGCAGAAACAAAGCCTGAAGTCCCCAAATCAGCAGGGAGCATGAGCTATAGGTCTGACACAGCAGGGTGGGGGTGGGGTGGGGGGTTCAATTCCTGCAGAGAGACCACTGCTTCCCGAAAGACCAACGGTCTCACTTCTGTAGCTGCTGACAGGGGTCAGGCTTTTCTACTCACGCTGTAGCAGAAAGAAAACCTGTAATACTATGCACGCCTTTGGTTTGATGCACATGGAATGCATTTAAAAATCGGGTTTAACATCTCAAAATGAAAAAGGAAATTGAAAGTTGGAAAAAAAAAAAAACCTGATGTATTTGTAAGATAGAACTATACATCACATCAATCCTCACACTTTGCCTTTAGTTACCCTTAGCAACCGGACTCCTTTGCAATTGAATGATAAAAGTTGGTTGCTATAGGCAATACATGACTCATTCATACTCTCTACATACATTCTTCTAACCCTGTTCTGCTTCCTCTTAGAAGAATAAAATACTTTGAACAGAGGCTTTAGGTTTTTTTCTTCTAAAATACTTGTTTTAGGTGTTATTTAGGCATCCACTACCAATCTGGGTTTATTAGCCGGTGGCATGGGTGGTCTACGCTGGTCATGGTCATGGTCCTCTAGGTCATTTTCATCCTCGTTGTCCTCGTCCTGGTAGTTTTGCTGTTGTTGCGGTACTTTTACTTGGGCCTTCTGTGGGGGGTGATCAGCCTCCTCCTCCTCTTCTTCTCGGTCACTGAAGAAAAAACCAACAAAGCTATGTTAAACATCTTGCATCAAAAGGGCAGGCGAGCTTAAAAGGAAAACTATGAGCTGAGCGATTTTCACTCACCTCATAGTTCAAGCCGACATGCGACAATGAAACTGTCACACGTCGGCTCATTAGATCGGGAAGTGAGTGAACACATACCGTCGCTCGCTCACTTCCCGATCCTTTCCCTGCAGAGAGCCGTGACCGCCAGTCATGGCTCCCTGCAGGGATTCCCCCCGCTACGATCCTGCAGCGCTGACTAGAGGAACGGACGGGGGAGGGAGCAGGCACAGCTGGCTCGGCCTCTAGATAGGCAGAGCTCGCTGTCAATCACACAGCTGGGTGGATCTCGACAGGAATGTCAGGATTCGTCCTGGCTGCGGCGGTCACAGTATCCCACAAACTGTAGCTCGCAATATACTGAGCTTTGGGTCACGGGAGGAAACTGGTATATGTCCTCCCGTGACCCTGAGGAGAACTATGGGGAAAAAACACTGACCCCCCATTGGTGTTGATTGCATTTGCATAAATTGGAGCTAGGAGGTGTTAGTAACCTGCCCAGGGTGAGGTGTTAAAACAGCATATTTATTCCCAGAGAATTTATGTACAAGTCATTCTGAATTGAGAAAGCTGGTTGGGTGACCAGTGAAACGTCTTGTCTCATTTTTTTTTACAGATATACCATGACCTGGAGGAATGAGAACCTTCATAGACATTTTATGAAGGGATATCATTTAACAGCAGCAGGGATGAAGCTCCCTTCCATAGATTCAAATGTACTGCTGCAGGGGTTGAGCTATGAGGGGTGATCCCACCACTGGAGACCTTAGGAAATAATAGGAAGCCTGTAGTTTTAGTCGCCCCAATAGCACCCACCAAAGCAAAAAGACGGTTTATGTGAAGTGCTCCTAGAATATCAATTTTCTTCACGTTAAAACAGATCCGTCACCTGTTCATAGACTTACTTCCTTTAATTGCACAGATGTAAGGGATCAGCGTGAACCTAATAAGTGCTCATAGATGGAAGATGGTCGTCTTAACTGCTAGGCAATGCTTCATTCCATAAACACTTCCTGTAGCTGAACCACCAATACGGATCTAGACTTATCTGTGGTTGCAGACGTGTAAACAAGTACAAAGATCACCTTAAAAAGGTGTAAGAAGATCATCATTCCTGGGTACCAAGAGCAGTCCCATTTGTTCAGATACTTTCAGGTCCGACTGATCTCAGGGGACAACCAGGGTCGGATTGACTCTCTGCAGCCCCAAGGCCAGGTTCCTCAATGCGCCCCCCCACCTCCCACCCCCCCACCCCCCATGGAGAATGGCAGACCTGCCGGCTGCATACAAGTGATCTCAGCGACATCACCGAGATCACCTGTACAAAACAAGCGGCGGTATCCCCGCTGTACATTTAGCTCTGCTTTTCCAAAGCATGGCTAAAATGTAGAAAACGACTACCCGCCCGGAACTGCATGTCCCAGACGTTGGGAGATAGAGATTCCACACCCCTGCTGCCCCTCTACTCCCTGCTGCCCCAAGGCCAAGCCTTGGTTGGCCTTGTGGGAAATCCAGCCCTGGGGACAGCAATCATCAGTAGATCCAGATCCCTACCAGAAACTCCCACTGAGTGGTCCCCAATGTGACACTTACGCAGCATTACCTACCACCCTCATAAATGGCATAAAGCATAGAGGGAAACCTTCTGACCTATGAAGTGCTCAAGACCGCAGACCTTGATGGCCACTTGTGGAAAGCCTAGCAAGACTCATTGGATAAAGTGGAAGTGAACATCTTGCTCACAGCGCTGTCCCCTGCTCTTGCTAGGCTTTCCAAGATGGCCACCAAGGTAGTTTTTCTACGAGGGTGAAGAGGTTTACCTCTATGCAGCTCACCATTTATAGAAGGGGGCGGTAAGGAATACTGTGTGGCAAGCGCAATGTCAAGGACCACTCAGAGCGAGTAGGTTCTGGTGGACAGCAGTAGCTAGGGCAGATTCAATTTGGGATTGCTGATGGAACAGGAACAATGATCTTCTTACACCATTGGTAACCTTAGAACACATTAATACCACTGCAGAGGGTATAAACACAGCATGATCCCTGCACAGTTTAATTAAAACAGGGTCAGAGAGCATTTCAGGACTGTGGTTTACCCCAAACACACACACTGCCATCGTGTTGGCAGCCATCGAGCTAACTTACGCCATTTCATAATCTTCCTTATCCTCTTTATCCCGGCAGCAACAGCAGTAAACGAGGACACCGATGACTATGATAGCAGCCAGACATCCACCAATCACACCGGCGTAGAGTGCAATGTTCATGGACGCTGTTCAGCCACAAAAGTTTAAGAAAAAGAAAGAGAATTAAACGGTGAATATTTTCCTTTTGCAAGATTTCATGTCAATGCTATTCAATTAAACATGTCGCCAACTTAAATCGGTCTTTAAAAAGAAATAAGGAGAAGTTACCTTCAGTAAAAATCTTAACTTTTGTAAAATTATATATATTTTATTATTACATAGGATTTATATAGCGCCAACAGTTTGCGCAGCGAATATACACTTCCTATTAGTCACTGCGGTTGTTCTCCCTCGAACAACCGCAGTGACTAATCTCCCTATCACGAGGAAAGATAGGGAGATTCTTGATGGCTGGTCATAGGTATCGTTGGATCTTTTCCATCATTTTGGCATATGGTTTTCACGGATGTGAACCCCTGCTTTTGCTTTTTTTTAAATGATATGCTGTATGAATTGCAATGTGTGCAGCGCCAGAAGGACACAGCAATCTAAACAGTCATAAAAAGCAGCAGACAGACAATTCAGCAACCAACCAGCCCTCTCCATTCCAGCTTTATTAAACCCAACGGGCAAATAAAAGCCAACAAACCTTGCTTATGAGTTTTAGACCACACCCAGCCCTGACGAGGACCCATTAAGACCAATTCACGATCCTGAGCATTGTGTACATTGTTGCCCATGTTATAGAACGAAGCTGTTCACACTTCAGCATTGTTTTTTCAAATGCATTCCACAGTGAGCTACGTGCAGCAGATTGGTGCACTTTCCACAAGGAGTGAGATTTCCCATCACACCTATGCACCAAAACTGCACAGTGCATGGGTGTGAACAAGGCATTGTCATAGCAAACCAAGGCAGAAGCAGCACATAATAAACATTCAATATCTGGCTAAAGTTCATCTTTAAATGAGTCCTAAAGGAATCTTAGTAGAACCAATTTTTCTGGTTCTAAAAGCCAGAGGTGTTGGCAACCACCCTTTATAGAAAGAACACTTTCAGTGCCCAAAAGTACCCAGTTTAGAGTCGGACTTGCTCAATATATTCCCATTGCACATGATCCTCGAAAAAGGCCTGGCATAAGAGTGTGCTGTAGTATCTGCCAGCAGGTTGGCCGGTGTCAGCTCATAGATAAGAACATCTGGTCACCAACACACCATGGATCTGCAAACATTTATTGGGGCGATTACATCACGAACGGTGTCAATACAACATTACAAGGCCAAGAAGGACCTCTCTGTCATCAAATGCCTGATGGAGATCCTGCTTAACCTCGAACCGATGCACTGATATTCTTTGTGTTGTGATTGCATGAATAAACGTTTGGATTATTGATTATGGATCCATTGTGTGCTGGCGACGTATGTGCTTAGGTGTCTGTTTGCCGCCCAAGTCTGGCTCTTGTATGAACTGCCTTTCCACCATCCTATGGGCAGGACTGACCAGTCATAGACTTTGTGCATGTAGCTGTGGTGCACTTTCCTGTGCCAGCCTTGATGTACTGGGGTTAGGAACTTAGCAGGAAGCGAGCACATTTTCATTTCTGAACAACCCCAACACACCAATGAAAGGTTGTGTTCTGGAAGCAGCAGCCATGGACTGCACTTTCATAGTTACATAGTATTTGAGGTTGAATAAAGACATTAGTCCATCAAGTCCAACCTATTAGGATCTCATTCTAGGAGTACCCGTACATGAAGCAGCAGCCATGGACTGCACTTACATAGTTACATAGTTACATAGTATTTGAGGTTGAATAAAGACATTAGTCCATCAAGTCCAACCTATTAGGATCTCATTCTAGGAGTACCCGTACCCCTGTATATTACGGTCCCTTAAGAAATCGTCCAAAAGTTTCTTGAACAATTCCACATTCTTTGCTGAAATCACTGTCTGTGGCAGTGAGTTCCAGACCCTAACTGATCTTACTGTGAAGAACCCCCTTCGCCCCTTGTGCTGGAATTTTTTTTCCAGCACAAGGGGCTGGTGGTTTTTAGGTGGTGGCCTCTAGTTTTTGTAATGGAGTTAATTTTAAACAGTTTATCGCTAATGTTGCTGCCACCATTGAACATTTTGTACATGGAGATCATATCCCCCCTTAATCTCCTCACCTCCAATGTGAACATGTTTAAATTTAGTAGCCTTGTCTCGTAGCTCTGGTCCTCCATACCCCTAATTAGTTTGGTTGCCCTCCGCTGGACTTTTTCCAACTCAAGGACATCTTTTCTTAGTACTGGTGACCAGAACTGGACCGCGTACTCCAGATGAGGTCGAACCAATGATCTATAATCACTTGTCTATTTGATGAGAAACAGAGGTCAAAAGTTCATTAGAACTACTTATGGTTCACGTCTGGGGACCTTATATTACAGTATGTGGGCACGGAAACAATATTTATGCCAATTTGTTGCATCTGATTGGTGAAGGAAATTGGAATTTTTTCCAGTGGCAGAACATTGTAGGCCAGGCTACCCACTACCACCCCATCATAAAAGCACTGGCAGTATAAAACGCTGATAAGGGCGCTAAATGAACACATTGTTATGAAGACCTCATGTTACAGTATCTCTACATTGAGAATTTTTAGACTGGTTTTACTTCCCTTGGATTGGTGAAGAGCAGTGGCGGAACTACCGCCGGTGCGAGCGGTGCCGCCGCACCGGGGCCTGAGCCTACGGGGGGCCCAGTATCTAGTCAAACACAGCCCTGGGGCAAGGGACCAAGCAGACAGCCGCCTGAGTACACGGGCGCGCTGAGATGGACACGTCACACACGGGTGGTTTTCTGCAGCCTCCCCAACCAGGAAACAGCCAGAGGAGGTGAAGGTAAGTTAATAAATAAAATCATTTTTTTTTAGCCCAATTGATGGCATTGCTGTATAAAGTATTGGTGTTATTTGTAGTTCTATATGGCAGGTCCCATTCTGCATCGCAGCAATGCAGAATGGCACCCTCTATAGAGGGCTACAAATCTCAGCTGTACTTTATACAGCAATGCCATTTTTCCAACTTTTTTTTTTTGTGGTTGCTAAAGGGTATATGGGTTAGGGTTTTTTTTTTGGGGGGGGCAAAAATAATCTTGCACCAGGGCCCTTTGTTCCCTAGGACCGCCACTGGTGAAGAGCGATCCTACTACAGAGCATGTTTTCAGTAGCGGGATACAGAAGCACTCTGCAACAATGGCGTTTGTATCGGCACCCTCATATTACTGATTGGTGCAGTCCCTGGTACATCGGGTACCAGGATACCATTCCATATCTCCCATCTATCCTTCACGCCTTCTCATTGCAGGAATTTTTTTTTGTGCAGTTCCTAATTTTAAAGTTTACCTTTAATGGTTACGTGCTGCCCTCTGGTGGGGTACGGATAACGCAGGCTTAGCCCCACAATTGACTCAAATACTGTATATAAGCAAATACAGGCTTGCTGCTTCTACATGCCCCTGGTTTGTCTAAAGCTATTGGGTACACGTGGAGAACACAGAGAAGGGAATTTATCAAAACTGGAGGAGACTAAATCTGGAGCAGCCATGCATGGCAACCAATCAGCTTCTCTCCTTAATTTTCAAATCTTAACTGAACATACTGAAGTTACACTGCAATTCTAAGCAGCGTTATCAGCACTGCCTGAAATCTACCCTGCTGGACTACAGAGCACACGTTACACGGGTGAAGGGGGGTTCTGTAGTGCACCAGGGGAGAACTGGGTAGGGCTGAAAACATTGCTTGGGGATTTCAGTACAGTAGAGTCACTGTGTTCTCAGCTCAAACAGGAAGTTAGGAGCACACTGGATTTGCAGCAGATCCCCCCCTGGATTATCTCGACACTTGCCTCGTTTTACGCAAATCAAACATCGGGAAATGATCAATCACGTGTACTGACAGATATACACAAACATTAAGAACAAAGATTTCTAAACACATAAGTGTCCCTTACGTGGCATTACTGCTAGTGTGAGATTGCAGAAATCATTTCCAATTCGATTTTCAGATGTACAAATAAAGAATCCCGAGCTCTCCATAGAGATGTTCTTAAGGGTCAAACTTCCTCCTTCTGTAAAGATACCAAAAAATAAATTTCTCGGAAGTAATTTAACCTATTTTTTGGCTCAAAAACATAGGGCTGAAAACATTGCTTGGGGATTTCAGTACAGTAGAGTCACTGTGTTCTCAGCTCAAACAGGAAGTTAGGAGCACACTGGATTTGCAGCAGATCCCCCCCTGGATTATCTCGACACTTGCCTCGTTTTACGCAAATCAAACATCGGGAAATGATCAATCACGTGTACTGACAGATATACACAAACATTAAGAACAAAGATTTCTAAACACATAAGTGTCCCTTACGTGGCATTACTGCTAGTGTGAGATTGCAGAAATCATTTCCAATTCGATTTTCAGATGTACAAATAAAGAATCCCGAGCTCTCCATAGAGATGTTCTTAAGGGTCAAACTTCCTCCTTCTGTAAAGAGACCAAAAAATACATTTCTCGGAAGTAATTTAACCTATTTTTTGGCTCACAGAAATAAACATAAATACGAAATTAAAATAATATATACACACACACACACACGGGCGTCCCGAGGCTAGGGGACACCCGGAGCAGTAACCGAGTGTCACCCCGCCGAGACGTCATCGCGCACGCGGCAGTATTCTGATACCTGCCGGCAGCCATCTTGGTGATGGACGCCGGCAGAGAGAGGAGGGGACAGTCACCCGGCGGGATAAGGTATGCCGCCGGGTCCCCTCCTCTCTCCT